ACTTGCCTAATTCATTGCCAAATCTATTATCAAAACGTTTTTTTTCTGGAAAGCTCGAGAAATATATTTAATAAACCGATAAGAATAGTTTATTATATAAATATTCGTAAATATCACTTGCCTAGATCCAATTGATACAAAAGCCATCACACAAATGAGTAGATATAGATTAATTATTTTTTTATAAAAAGATCTATAACACATTAAATCCTAACATCGTAATAATTATAAAATTTATTATATGTTTAGTTATCAAAATTCGAATTAAACGAGGCCATACTTATTGTTTATGTATTAATGTTGTAGGTGGATTTGGAATCCATTCAACTGTTAAGTGAATTTTAAAAATCGGCTTATAAATTATACACATTTAAAATAGTCGTAAATTAAAATGTCAACACAAGAATATTTTTCATAAAAATTTTAATGAATTTAAGTTCCTTGAAATATATATGGCTAGATGCTGAAAAAAGGAACGAAATTGACAATTTTTTTAATGAACTTTTTTTATATAAATCAATTTAGAATAAGATTATAACCATTTTTTACTTAAGACATAAAAGTAGTTATAATAATAAAATTTTGCAGTATAGCTCTTAAAGTTTGCATTTTCTTATAATTTATTATAAGATTTATAACATAAAAATTGATTTTCTGAAGATCTTTTTTTTTGTCAATTTCGTCCCTTTTCTTAGCAACTAGCCCATATATATATTTACTAGCCATAAAACTTTTATTTCACAACCATTCAAAAAACGATAGATATTGGATTAAAATTCTTTCAGCTACGGCTGCTAGATATTCAATTAATGATTACATATAAATCGCAATTTACAAAAATAGACCATAACTATATTGATTGGTCTATTTCGCTTTGCAAAGTAATTAAGAAATTGTCAAATGAAATAAATTACTTTGTAAATGTAAAAGTTCTAATTTGATGCGTGAAAATGGGTATTATCTCATAGCATCAAATTTATAAATAGAGAATATTAGTTTCCTGTATGTTTCAGTTTTGTTAATGATTTCACAGTTAACAATTTTTTTAATTATGTCTTTTTATAGATTAAATAGACTGAGTTGCATAGCTTTTATAATATTTATTATTTTATATAATATCAATATGGTAAATATATATACCAACTCATCTTTAAGGATTTTTATCTAGATTATTTTTATTTTTTATTGGTAGAAATGCACACCTATTTCTTTAAAATCCAACTGAGCTTTTTATAGTTAAATTTTAGATTGAAAAGTATATTTTATTTTCTATTTCTTTTTCTATTATTGCTATATTATTTTTTTGAAAAAAATAAAATAAATAGAAAAAGTATATTTAAAAATAGAATACAACTTATACAATAAACATTTGGCGGTCTGCGAATTACCAAATTAAATATATATATGTGAAAATTAATTCAATATATGTTAGATTAAAAAATAGGTTAGTTATTAATTGACTTACTATAATAAAATATTAAATTGATTAGTACGTAATAAATATTACTTTTTCATGATTATTTCAAACTTGACAACCTAAACGAAGCCCTCAAAAGTATAAAAGTCAGCAAACCCAACAATATTAATACAAAAGCGTTTATTTTTTTTCTGGCTTAAATTTAAACATAAATATATAAAATAGAATTAGGAAAATGCAATAGGACTTAAGGGTCTTGTAAATATTATTTTCAATGCTCTTCCAAAAGATTAATGCCTTATTTATTTAAAGGTGAAAAAATTTAAAGCAATTGACTAATTGGAGAATTATATTCATTTTCTAAACACTTGAATAATTTAATAATATTTTCTATCGTAATAAAACTAGAAAGTTTTTATTTTATAATTAAATTCATTAACCCTATTATACTCATAAAACATTAAAATCCACTTTTTTTGTATGAATATTTAGCTACAAGTTCACCTATGTGTCTTGTGCCAAAAGATTTTGAAATATTTTGAGTGGCAATTTTACCCTGTTCGGACGATTCGCCTGATATTCACCTTATACTCCCTCTCTAATTAATGCGAATAAAATGAAATTAAATAGTATATATTCACGAACTTGAATAGCATATTTCAAATACAGTTGACCCTCATAAATATCAACCTGCATTAATATCAACCTAAGTTACAAACCAAATTTTTATAGATTTTTATACCAAACTTCTCTTATATATATCAACTTTAATATAAGCTCTCATTCATATCACTATCAACATGAATATAAAGATGATCCGAATAGGTTTATACTAATGAGGGTCGACTGTACTTGATAAATGTTTTTTATACCCACTCCTTAAACCAATGCGAAGAAATAGTTAGTAGTGCTAATTTTGATTGCAATCTAAATAGCTGAATCATTTAATTTTAATTCTGGTCAAATTTGCAGATCTTTTGGTCAAGTTCGGATTTTTTTTGATCCCAGATATGGCTAAATATTCAGCAATTGATACTGTTATTTAGATTACAATCAAAATTAGTTCTTACGTATATATTTATGAACTTGAATAGCTTATTTTTAATACTTGATTAATAAAGTTTAGGTTAATAAATGTTACTTATACTCACCAAATTAATGTGAATATAATAAACTAAATTAACGAATCTAATAGTATTTATTTATAAGATGAACAAATTTATCTAATTTAAATGCTTATATTGAAAAATGTTCTTTATATTCACAGACCTAGTTGACACAGTGGCTTCGCTTAACAACTATATCTATAATATGAACAGCTTCAGAAATACTAATTAAAAGGCTAAAAATATTGGTTTGGTTACGGTTTTCCCCAATTCAAAGCTCAAACTTTGAAAAAGAAAAACTATTTCGGGTCATAGGTGTATTTTAAAGCCTAGGCTCACCTAGTTAAACTTTTCCTTAAAATATAATAACTAAGCATCAATAAATCATAAATTTAGTTCTTGCAATATCTGAATTCGGGGATACATATTAGTGTTATTTAAATTTTTCATATCCTATAATTGGGGTCCTGGCACCTTACTAAATTACCCGATATATGACCCGCATTATTCCGAAAAACCCGACAAAGCAAAAAACACGAAAATATAAAAAATAGCTATCTAAACTGGTCTTGATTCACTAAGTAAAAATGGCATAAATGTGATTTTACTATATATCCATTAACCTTCTAGCCTATGTCTAACCCTCACCTATAATATTGATTAAAAATCGGAAATCGGAAGGTGCCAGGCTTTAAACGTCCCCCCTATAATTGAGTGAAACGTTTCGCGACATGTTATATCACTACATGTATCGGTTTATTGCACGCATGTACAGTATTAATATTATTAAATAAATTCCTTTTAAATGATAAGACTACCGAGCGAATTGCTTTTTATAATATTTAATAATTTTAGTACATATTTAAGCTCGCCACTTACCCTTCAATAATTTTTCTTAGCTAAGACCTGTATTTAATCAAACGAAATTATCAAGAGCTTTTATGAACTTCACTAGTATTTAAAATCCATCAACTTTGTCATAACGCCTACATTTACCTTATATTTTAACAAGTGTTGGCATTCTATTTATTCCATTCTATATATTTTGGTCTTTTAATCTAATAACATTTATTCAATAATTACAATAAAATTTTTATATGTAGTGATAAGAAAAATGAGCTCTATTGTTTACTGGATTTCTGGATTTGTGAACCAAATTATTCTATTGATTTTTAACTGTAAAAAATAATAATTTTATGTTTTCTTTACTATCATAATTATTTCACATTATAATAATCTTCACTTCTATTTTGTTCTTGATTTCGATCAATATAAGACTTTTATTCAAATTCTATTAAAATATTGCGAACCTTAAATTCAAAAATGTCTTCATATGCATTTAGAAACAAAATTGAGGTAGACTTCTAGGCATGATACTAAAATTTAGAGTCATTTAATTTACAGCATAATTACCAAACTAAAAACACACTTATTTCAGATCTTATCCCAAGTACTAACCTAGCCTAAAATAAAAATCATCAAATTTCTGTATCTAGCCAATTTTAGCTTTGGTTGTAATACCAATTGAAGTTAAATTTGCTTAAATAACAACGCTACTCAAACAATTTGAAACGTCCCATACCATTTGAAAATTAATTTTTCGTGGTGGTTTGGACATTAAAGTATATAAGCAATATAAATCAATCAATATTCACTTTCTATTCTCAACCGAATTGATGCAAATTGCGAAGACATATACGCATAATATTGGGTTGTCATAATGAACTTATTTCGAAATAAGTGAAGCTTAAAAGATCCTACCTCTATTTTAAAATTCCGACTCAAGGAATTAAATAAGGACACACGTTAATATAATTAGCTTTTGTGATAAATATCAACCAGTAAATTATGATGTTAATAAGGTTATACGTAAAAAACAAAACATTAATTCTGAAACCCCTATTACACGAGATTAATTTACACGAATTTGATTTGAGTAATTAGATTAGTCCCACGAAAAGTGCATAATTGTCATATAAGTTTTGTAGCCAAACCTTGTGCTTATTGGTCAATCATCATGAGAAAGATTCCTCTAACTTTTGAGTTGATTCTTGACTTTCAGAATCAATATGTATTGTACGCATGTATGTCATGATTGATCAAAACAACAATCACTCTTTTTTGTAAAGTCACATTTATCTCAAAAATTCGACTAAGAAATCACCTTTGATGCACTAACGAAAAAAATCCCTAATAACACTAATGCCAAACCCTAACTGAGATGTCACATTTTAAACGAAGATGAATTAGTGCGAATAATCCCAACCAATAGAAACTTGGGGAGAAATTAGTAAATCCCATACGTACGTACTGGTAACTCAGCAAAGTAAATCAAAACTATATCAGCTATATTAATCATTTTACTATGATCAGATTTTTATCAGCAAAATTAAAAAAAATGATCGATCGATCGATTTTAAGCCTTTAAGCTATGAAGAAAACTGTAAAATTCCAAACTTTTCCCACAAATATTGTACTTATTTATCTAATTTCTTTCTATTGAAAACATTGCTCCAGTGCTTTGCTTGCGAAATTCTAATTAAATTCTGACTTGCATGTTTAAGATAGTTTTCTCGTTCTAATTGATGAAATTTAGAGCGTTCTGCAAGACGATTACCTCAAACTCACATATTAATAGAGAATTTTAAACACATAATTTTATTCTTAACGGTTTATAAATAACTTGTAGAAATTTCAAAGTGATTCCATGCCTCAATAATGAGTTGAATGTCTCGCTTAATAATGTAATAGAACATTTTAAAACGTCAGTCGTAAATGTGGTGAGCTCATTTCTGACCTTGGTATTCATTCGTGTAACGTGAAAAATCTGTAATATTTCAAATTCGATAGTTTGCTCACATAGTTTTGATTTACTTAGTTGAGTTACCACCCCAGTACGTACGTACGTATCGATATCTACTGTAAAATTTTTAAGAGGATCCCAAAATGTCCGGGTCGGATCCATCGAATTTAGGCAATACAAGTCAACCATTTCTGTGCCAAAATTATACTGGGCAACGAAAATTTCCAGTTGAAACAGTAATTATTAAAAATTAGGTGATTAGTTTACAATCAGGCGTACCAATTTATAAGTCATTAAGGTACATACGCACGAAATTTTATATGCATCAAGGTACAAATTTATGAGTAAAATTCATAAGCGATTCATAAGCAATTCATTATCGAGCTTACAATCCCTGATCAAAAAATCACTTTTATTCTCAATAATCATGCCATATCACATAAATGATTGGCTCAGATTTTATTTAACCTAATCACTCACATTAAATCATCACGAAATTGGAGATTTTCGCCCACATGTTTACTTAATGAGTGGGCTGACTTTAGTGATCTTGGGCAAAATTAGTTAATTCCGGCCCGGAAATCTGGGACCTTCCTGTATGAGTTCTACTGCATCAGTATAGCGTAACACAGATAATACGTGGCTTTCTAATATGTACGACTTTAAACAAGCTTTTTTTTTTTAGTTATCTGTATCTGCTTTTGCTTTTTTTTACGCTGATATTAAAGAATAATTTTTGAAATAAAATGATAAATTTCTATGAACGTCTTTCTCGTGATCTTACAGACCTTCTTGAGAATGAATATGATTATAATGTCATAATTGAAATTGGACAACGACCGAAATATAAACCATACAAAGCGCATTCAGCTATCTTATATCAAAGGTCTACATTTTTCCGCCGAGAATTAGATGATATTGAACAAAATGAAAATTGCATTAAAGAAATCCGTATTGATTATATTTCGCCTGACATATTTGACATCATTATCAAGTGAATTATATTTTCTTCATTAAAAATATAACTAATCCTTTCAAGATCATAATTTATTTAGTCATTCCTTTTTTTTTTTTTTTACACATTTAGGTATATTTATGGTGGTTTTGTTTCCTTAGATAACATGAAAACTTCTATTATGTTTGAGCTTATGTCTGCTGCGAATGATTTTGGTCTTGCTGAATTGACTAAACATATTCAATCTCACATGATTGAGCATAATGCAAATTGGTTATGCCTCAACTTTGCTCGTGCTCATAAGCTAAGTTACCGAAACGAAAGATTACAAGAATTGCAACAATTTTGTACAAACATCTCTACGAAATATCCTGATTTAGTGTTTAATTCTAGAGATTTTACCTCTTTACATGAAAGCGTTTTGGTTTCTATATTGGGTCATGATAATTCCGAAATGGATGAAGTTTCAATATTTGAACGTGTTATTGAATGGGCCGTTGCTCAAAATCAAGGAATACCTTCTTCTCCTGAAGAATGGTCTGAGAATAATGTTTTAAATATGCAATCAACTCTCAAAAAATACCTACCTCTTATTCGATATTCTCGAATCAATGGTGATGACATATTTAATAAAATCCGTCCATATCAACAAATTCTTGATGATGATATTTGGACTGATTTGATGAAAAAATATATGGCTCTTCCCAAACCTCCAAAAAGTCCTTCAATTAACCCAACTCCTATTCCTCCGCCATCTTCTCGAGGAATTTCAATTATTATACCACAATCTAATCCGGTTTCTTCTCATTCACATTCTACCGAAAGGCACGAACAACTTTCTCGTCAAATTGATACTTCATTGAAAATTTCTTCTAATCATTCTCTTTCAACAATTGTTACTGATGAGCAAATTGCCGAAATTTCTTCTTGGATCGATAATCGTTCCTCACCTTATGATGCTTCAATTAATCCTTATGAATTTCAATTGATTCTTCGTGGTAGTCTTAACGGGTTTAATTATAAAACTTTTTGGGGTCTATGTGATAAACAATCTCATACTGTAATTATCTTGAAAGTCAATGGATCTGACGAAATCTTGGGTGGTTACAATCCTTTGGAGTGGGATAAACGAAAATATAGAGGTTGGAGTAAAACCAGTAATAGTTTTATTTTTAAATTTGGATGTGAAAACTCTTCCGAAACTATACTTAGTAGAGTTCAAAATTTTGATCAAGCGATATTTGAATCTTATTATGATGGAAATGGTCCTAATTTTGGTGGTGGTGCTCTTAGGATGAAAGATGATTTCAAAGAAGATAAGTCTTGTGTTTGTATGGGTCATAAAGGGTATGAAAAACTTATCAGAACCTCTAAAACTCAATTTTCTGTCGATGAATATGAAGTTTTTAAAGTTTTAAGCAAATCTGGCTCAAAACTTCCTGAGTAATGGTTTAAACCATTCTTTTCTCTATGTAAATTTTCATATGTTAATTGACCGGTGCGGAATTACTAGGACGATCAAATTGAAAAGATCAATACATAAATTAGTCAGATAAAATATTTATTTTTGATTCCTTGTATAACTGAATTTTTGCTCTGGACATTTGACAGTTAGTTTATTATTCGGATGGTTGTATAATTAGATATATTTATATATAAATAAATATTTTTATATATCGAAATTTATAAAATTATATCCTAGTATCAAACTAATATCGATATTTTTAGAATGTTTAGAGTTTTTTCTGTTTAGATGGATGTCCTGAATAGTCCCAACCCGGGTCACCGCCCGGGTGGTAAAAGAAATCCGCAATGAGTCACCCGCAAAGAGATTTATGCTATATAATCTTTGTACTAACAACTTATTAATACGAATAAATTGTAGGTATTCATGAGGTTGAGTCAAATTAACGCGACTGATAAAATTAAATAGTATATAAAGAGTTGACTTTTCTTTTTTTTTAAATAAACTTACATTGACTCTTCCTTCAGACCAGTGTAGGAAATTTGTTTTGAAATTTAGGTTCTCGTAATAACAAATTTATTCAAATTTTTTCGTCCCATCCTTGCTCGTCTTTTATGTTCGTTCTTTCTTTCCGGAATTTCTCAGAGTTTTACTCAATTTCTAATTATTAATTCCACCCTGTAGCATATCTTTATATTCATATAGAGAACATATTTATCAAGCAATATGTTCTCAAAAAAAAAATTTATAAAGAACACATAATTAAAGTAACAGAAACATTTAAAAACTGTCGAAGAACAAGCTTGTTTGGATTTGGTAATGTACCAAAAGCTAAAGTTTTCAAATCCAAAAGAACATGAGAACAACACTGCTTCAGACATGAAAAGTTGATACTTTGTAACTTTAATAAAATTTTTAATATAAAAAAAACGAAAAAATAATTGTGAAAACTTAAAACTACCAAGAATTACGTCATCATTTTTCACTACGATTTGACTCAATTCTCGATTTTCCAATTGAATCAATTATAAAATTTTTAGTATTATAAATCAATTTGTATAATAAAATATTATTAATTAGAGTATTTATTCGGTATTGTTATTTTTTATTATTGTTTTAAATTAATATTAATAAATAATTTTTATGTTTACAAGTTAAAGAAAATAATTAACATGAATGAAATAATTTGAAGGGCATTATGTAATGGTAAATAAGTATTTATTCTTGGTTTAAGTGCTTAATTTATTGGGTTTAACTCTATTAATTGATAAATAATTATTATATTCATGAGTGTCCTGATTTTATTCATCATTTCACTATTGGAAACTATAAAATTGATTAATAATACAAATACTCTGATATGTAAATAATTAGTAGAACCAATCATAAGTAGTGAGAGAAATTAATAAATTCTATATTCACAGGCTAACAATATGAATAAAATGATTTGAAGGATATTATGTAATGGTAAATAAGTATTTATGTTTTTTGTTAAAGTGTTTAATTTATTGAGTTTAATTTTACTAGTTAATAAGTAATTTTTATATTAACAGACTAAACAATATAAATAAACATTGGCAAATTTAAAAAATTTACTATATTAAATAGTACATTTCAAATGTTACTCAAAATGCTATTCAAACTAATATTCAATACTATCATATAATTTTACAAATATACATGCTTGTTAGAGAACAAAATGTGTTAAGTTGAGTCAGGTTTGCATAGTTTTAAAATTAAACTCAAAAATATTTACAAATTCAAGTCTGGTTTATTAAAAAAAAGCCTATAAGTATAGATTGGGTCAGGTTTTAATTTTAAATTAGGTTCAACCTAAACACAGTTCATTGTAATAATAAAAAATAGTACTAGCTTAATGTGTATCAAAATCAGATCATATTAACTGCAAACAACAAACTAATATTATTTAAAATACTCTTTAATTCAAGCTTTAATAATTAAAATTTTGTTTAGAAATTGAAGTTTTTGGATTAGAGTTTTGAAGTATATTATACTTAAGTTATTTATTAATTAGTATTTTATTAGAATGAAATGTTTTGTAATTTCAAATATTAGACATTTTAATTATTAGTTATTTTTATTTGAGATAATATTTCAAGTCATTACATTGCTTATTGTAAGTTTTTTTTTTTTACTATTTGATAAAAAACTGGTTACTGTAAAATTCTGTTATTCTGTATGGTATAAATATAATTATATTATATTAGTACAACTTAAGTCAAATAAGAATGTTTAGCTTTCATCTTTAAATTTATAATATTTACCAATCTACCATCAATTGGATTTTTTTAAAGATTGGCTTATGATCTTTTTATAAATTTTTTTTATATATTTGTATTTTGTTTTTCAGTATAGATCTATTTGTATATATATTATATATACATATTATTAACAAATAATATTTAGAAAAGTATGGTGACTTAGTAAAGTAAATAAGTTGTTAATCTTCAAGTAATAGATTAGGTATTCAAATCTTATCAAAAGTAAAAATTTAAATAATCATCTATATAATACTTATATTATGATAACTGTTTCTAATGATTAGATTAAAATACCTGTAATAGT